TGGATGTGAAATGGATAAATTATCTATTCTGTACCCATGAAAATGAATCTTTAAAGTGATAAAACGCTCTTTTTACTGATCACCTGTCATACATAGGAGCAACAAAAGTGGAAATATATACTAAAATTGTAAAGTGTAGCAAAGTTCCTATGCTAAGTGACATAAGCCAGTCACAAAAGACAAATATTGTATGACTCCGCTCATACAAGGTCCCTAGAATAGTTGAATTTGTAGAAACTGGACTGCAAAATGCTGGGTGCCAGGGTTTGGGGGAGGGGCAGTGGAGATTAGAGTTTATTGGGTGTTGCGTTTCAGTTCTGCCAAATGAAAAGAGTTTTGGAAGTTGGAGACACAACAACATGAATGTGCTTAAAGATACTGAACTATACACTTAAAAATGGTTAGGATGGCAAGTTTTATGTCTATTATCACAACTAAATTTTTTTTGAAGTTTAATTTTATTGGTGTATACTTGACTTATAATGTTGTGTGAGTTTCAGGTGTACGGCAAAGTGATTCAGTTATCCATATGCATGTATTCATCTTTTTTAAGGTTATTTTCTCATATAGGTTATCACAGAATACTGAGTAGAGTCCGTGTGCTACACAGCATGTCCTTGTTGATTATCTGTTTTATATATGTGTGAGAGTCCCTTGGACTCCAAAGAGATCAAACCAGTCCATCCTAAAGGAAATCAACCCTGAGTATCCATTGGAAGGACTGATGCTGAAGCTCAAACTCCAATACTTTGGCCACCTGGTGCAAAGAACTGAGTCACTAGGAAAGACCCTGACGCTGGGAAAAATTGAAGGCAGGAGGAAAAGGGGACGACAGAGGATGAGATGGTTAGAAGCCATCACTGACTTAACGGAAATAAGTTTGAGTAAACTCCAGGAGATGGTGAAGGACAGGGAAACCTGGTGTGCTGCAGTCCATGGGGTTGCAAAGAGCCGGACACAACTGAGCGACTGAACAACGACAACAAATATGTGTTCGTGTCTGCTACGTGGCTTCAGTCGTGTCCGACTCTATGTGACCCCATGGACTGTAGCCCGCTAGGCTTCTCTGTCTGTGGGATTTTCCAGGCAAGAATACTGGACTGGGTTTTGCCATGCCCTCCTCCAGGGGACTCTTCTTATAGTGTGTATATATTCATCCCAAGCTCCTGAATTATCCCCCCACCATGCTTCCCCTTTCGTAACCACAAGTGTGTTTTCCACATCTGTAAGACTGTTTCTGTTCGGCTCATTCTGTTCATTTGTATCATGTTAAGAAATTAGATTCCACTTATGAGTAACATCATATGATATGTCTTTCCCAACCACAACTAAATAGTCTTAACTTAAAAAAATGTTAAGTTCCTCTGATTCTAACCCTCTGAATGTCGAAATTTTCTTTCTGGATTGAGTCATCCTTTTAATTGTCCTTTAGCCACAACAGCCAAAATAGCATGAATATGTTTTTAACTTTTTGGTAAGTAATGAATACATCGATCGTGGGGGCCATGGTTGAAGGAGGCTTCGCTGGTACCCACAGCTTCAGTTTCTCAAATGGTGTCAGAGATGGGGTGGCTGAAAGCCGGCTGTTTCTTCTGTACTGTGCCAAAAGGGCAGGTTGAGAAAGGGAGATCAATTTTAGGAAGGAGTTCAGTGGAAGCTGAGGATCTAAAGATTGATTCCTTTTCCATTATTCATGCTGAGCTCTCCTTGGAAAGTCTGCAGTACCCAGGGGTATGCTTCCTGCAGTGTGAGGCTCCAGCCCTACTTATGCCCTTTGATGTCACGTGACAGGGTCTGTCTTTGGTCCAGGTTTGCATTAATCAGCCTCCAATACTGCCTGATCCCTGGTCACCTGGCCTGCTGAGCCAGCCCCGTCCAGCCCCGTCCACCCCCGCCCCCCCGGCCCAGTGCAGAGTCTCCTGTGTGTCCCCAGTTCTGCCAGCCCTCCTTGGTTGGATAACCTTCAAAATCTATAGCTCTCACACCCCGCACCCCCCTCCCCCAGATGGCCTGACTACGTGAAAGAGCGGATTCCCGCAGTTCCTTCAGAGGCGGAAGTTCTTTTCTCTTTTCAGTGAATTAATTGGCTGCACTGGGTCTCTGTTGCCCCAGATGGGCTTTCTTGTTTTGGCGAGCGGGGGCCATTCTCAGGCTGAAGTGTCTGGTTTTCTCTCTGCAGCGGCTTCTGTTGATGTGGTTCGCAGGCTTAGTTGCTCTGCCGATTGTGGAATCCTCCTAGAGCAGGGATCGAACCTCTGTCCCCTCCACTGGACCACCAGGGCAGTCTTCGGGGGCATTTCTGAGGGTCTGGAGCTCCCCCTCTCCCAAGTCCTCCAGACAGCCCATCGCGATGTCCATTATGCAATTTTCTGCACCCCATTTTTTCTCTAGCAAGTATCTGGAAAAATAGAATTTTAGACCACAGTGCGGTTTAGCCCCCATAGGACCCATCTCTCAACTCTCCAGAGGTCCTGGTCCTTTGGATACAGTAGAAAATTTCCCAGACAATTCTTCAGAGAAAGGCCTGGGGGCCTCAGAGGCAAGATGTTGACATGTGCACGTGTCTTTCAACTGCTTTCCAGTTTTGTGTCCTGGTGGTGGCGGTGGAGGGGGCTCTTGGTCTCAGCTCCTCAGAGTCCTAGAGCTCATCTCCTGAGTGAGCATGTAGTCCCCAGGGGAGCTGGGGGACACTTGCTTTGCTTTTGGTCCCTTTGAGCTCTGGGTCTCCCCTCTTGGAAGATGGAGGGTGGGGATGGGGCGCCTCCTGCAGTGTCTCCACACGGGTTCAGTAGTCAAGTCCAAACCCTGCATTTCCCCGAGCTTCTGTCTCCCCACCCTTGTTACCACCTGTGCTATCAGTTGAGGTTCTTTGCTTCCGAAAAACAGATGCTGATACTGACTGGCTTGGGCTTCTCCAGGGCGTCTTAGAAGAATCCAGGGTGGCCCATGGAAATGTAAAAAACACTGAGTGACCCCTGACTTGGGAGAGAGGATCCCAGAAGTGGGGCGTGTAGGTGTCAGTGGTGGAGGCTCCGAGGCCCTATTGGCCTGGCACTGCCTCCATGGAGAGAGAAGCTGAAGGACCCAACCCCAGTATCTTGACCTTGGGTCAGCAAGCCATGGGCAAGGCTGTTGTGGTACCTGGCTAACCCTCCCCATTTGTGCTATTGTGCATTCTCAAATGGCATCTTGTTCCCTTGAAAATGAATATTTCCTGATTTGTCATTTGGCCACTTATCTTGAAGATGGCCACTGGAATTTATGGAGGATGGAAAGATGACCACAGGGCAGAGGATCTCAAAACCTCTCACAAAGACCTTTCTGGACAATCCGGCCATATCTGAGCCTCAGGAGGACATAACTGACCCCCCACATGCCCCTCAACTACATAATGATCTTGACAAGGCCCCATTCCTCTTCTTTTAAGAAAGCTTTTATTTTTTTAAAATGTAAAACCACTTACATGTTTCCAGTATCACTGAGTATCTTAAGATAAAAATTATCCATTTAGAGTATCTTAAGATAAATTGTGGAGACTTCTCTGGTGGTCCAGTGGCTAAGACTCTGCACTCCCAATGCAGGGGGCTCAGGTTCGATCCCAGGTCAGGGAACTAGATCCCACATACTGCAACTAAGACCCAGTGCAGCCAAATAAAAATAAATATTTTAAAAACAAAGAAACAAACAAAAGAATATTTTAAAAGAAATTGTCAAAAAAAAAAAGAGAGAGAGAAATTATCTTTGAATGGGAGCTTCTAGTACTCTGAGATCTGCAAGGCATACCTAGAAAACTTGCTGCCATGGAAAATGAAGCAATCAGATTGGGGGGATGGTGGTGGAGAGCCTGTGGGGTTTTTTAAAATTATTATTAATTGCTATCATATTGTCCTTTAGGCGACTGAGGGAGTTTCATATTTTCTTCAGACAACATCAGGCACTGAAGCTGTCTGTGGACAAGTTTGATCTACATGAATTCTTCCGTTTTGGTAGCATAGATATGGCTCCTGCTGGCCACTCCATTAGAACTGTTAACTCCATTTCATATTTTTAAAATCAGCTTAATTATTTAGTTTTGATTGCACTGACTTCTCTTGTTGGGGAGCATGGGCTTTCGGGTGTGAGGATTCAGTAGTTGTGGTGCATGGGTTTGGTTGCTCTGAGACGTGGAATTTTCCCCGACCAGGGATTGAACCCACGACCCCTGCATTGGCAGGCAGATTCTTATTCACCGTTATCACCAGGGAAGTCCTCCACTTCATATTAATTTTTGTTATAAATCTTACAAAGGGGAGTGCTTCTGGGTATTTCATGTCCACATTCTGTCTTCATAAATTGTCCAAGCCCGTGGTAGCTGCCATCCTGCATCACTGTCTCTGGAAGCCTGACCCCTTCACTCCCACCGTCCCCTGGTCCCTACATCGTCCCTTTCCCCCTTACACTTTCTATCACTTCTTTCTTGGAGCATCACCTACAATGCTTAAATTGATTAATAAGAAACATTCAGAACCACCAGCTTGACTCCTAAAGGCCATCGTAACTCGAAAGAGCAACAAGGAAAGTCTTGGAAGGGTGCTTCTGCGCGGGCTGGGGCTTCCCTGATGTCTCAGCTGGTAAAGAATCTGCCTGCAACGCAGGAGACACGGGTCTCGGGTTCGATCCCTGGGTTGGGAAGATCCCTTGGAGAAGGAAAATGGAAACACGCTCCGGTATTCTTATCTGAAAAAATCCCATGGACAAAGATGCCTGGCAGGCTACAGTCTGTGCGGTCGCAAAGAGGGCACACGACTGAGCAACTGACACCCGCAACGTGCACCTCTGCGGCGGGCAGGGCACGGCCCTTGGGTTCGCAGCTGGAGGAGATTTTCAGGACCAGAGACAGCGCCCCCCTGGACCACACCTGTCTCCCAGAGCGCTCGCGAGTTGACGGTGAGGAGGTGTCACCAGGCTGATAGAAGGGGAAACTGCTCCCGGCTGGAGGCCCGCTTGCCCCGAGAGAGGCACTAGAGGGCGCTGGTGAGCTGCTGGCCTGAGGGCTCAGAGACCTGGGTTCCAACCCCACTCACTACCTCTGCGCCCTTTAGAAAAAACGCGACAGAAGAAGTTCACCCCCCAGATTATATAAAAAGCCAGCTGTCCACCCTAAGCGCTGTTCTCATCTTAGTCTGACCAGTGTCTATTTCATACGGAGGGGCTCTCCCGGGGCACGTGGCATTTGGTGTTCTTTTCTTGTTACCTTTTACAGTGATACCCGTTTTACTTCTATGAAATCTTAATGGCTATGGAGTATTACATATGTCTTCAAACATGACCTTTATTGAGGTAAAAACAACACTTTGTTGCTGTTTAGTCGCTCAGCCGTGTCCGACTCTGTGGCCTTCATGGACTGAAAACCTCACGGACTTCATGCCCGACTTCATGGACTGTAGCCCGCCCGGCTCCTCTGTCCCTGGGATTTCCCAGGCAAAGAATACTGGAGTGGGTTGCCATTTCCTTCCTTTTCCGGAGGATCTTCCCAACCCAGGAATCAAACCTGAGTCTCCTGCATTGGCAGGCAGATTCTTTACCACTGAGCCACCCAGGAAGATCCAAAGTTGACATACAACAAATCAAACCGAGTTTTGACACATTTATACGCCCAACACCCCCAGAATAGTTCCCTTGCCGTTTCGTAATTCTCATCTCTCCCCTTCTGCCTCCTCCCCTGTCAATCAATCGCTGATTTATTTTCAATCACTGTGGATTTGGACTCTTTTATAGACTATCATATGTTTTAAAAATAACATTATTATCTGTTGTTTTATTTAAGAGCTTGCTAAGGGCCAGGTTCTGGGTGCATTAGAGTCATTATCTCATTTAATTCTCAGCCAGCCCTGTGGAGTGGAAATCTTTATTTTACAGGTGGAACATTTATTCCAAGAGGTTGAATGATGCGCCCAAGGAGCTCGTCACGTGAGTAGACAGTGGTGGAGTCAGGATGGGCACTCAGACCCTGGGAGGCCCCCTGAGCCCCCCTCACCCACGGCCCTGCCTCTCTCTCTCTTCCAGCCTGCAGGAAAGAAACTGCCTGCGCTCAAAGTCTGCCTCGGCTGCAGCCACACGTGTGACGCTGGGCAGGTTCATTTTGCTCTCTAGGCCCTGGCTCCTCACTTGTAGAGTGGCTGTAACCACAGCCCCTGCCTTACAGGTCACCTGTCAGGATCAGTGAGGGGCCCTTAGCAGAGGGCTCAGCGAAGACGGAGGAGTAGCTGTGTGGTCGTGGGGTGTGAGTACAGCGAGATGGACGTGTAGGATGGGGTGGGAACCTAGAAGGTAGGCAGGGAGCAGGTGGCGTGGAAGGCAAGCCTTCTGGAACGTTTTCTCCTGCCACTCCTGGGTGACTTTTTTAAAGAAATCAAATCAAGAGGCTACCCCAGGAGATTCTCTGATTTTCTCTTTTCTTGTGCATTTCTGCAATTTTGTTTCTGGTACAGACTTTCACCAAACCCTATTCTTTTTTAAAGTTATGTATTTATTTTTGGCGGTGGTGGGTTTTTGTTGCTGCATGCGGGCTTTCTCTGGTTGCGGTGAGTGAGGGCGACTCTTGGTTGTGGACCACAGGCTCTAGGGTGCTTGGGCTTCAGCAGCTGCGGCACACCGGCTCAGTAGCAGCGACGCACAGTCTTAGTTGCTCCGGGGCATGTGAGGTCTTGCAGCGACGCACAGTCTTAGTTGCTCCGGGGCATGTGAGGTCTTCCCCGACTGGGGATCAAACCCGAGTCCCCAGCATTGCCAGGGGGATTCTCAGCCACCGTACCACCAGGGAAGTCCTTCTGGATGTCTTTCGTCTGTTCTACTCCTTTACCTTCTAGCAGTCCAAGGCTTTCTCTGTCAAGCACTGTATCTATCCCCCTAGGGATTTACAATGTTGGGAGGTGCCGCCCAAGAGGGTGCCCTTCTGGCGGGGGTGGGGGGAGGGGGGAGGTCCCAGCAATTACAACTCAGTGTCATCAAGGCTGTGTGTGATGGGGAGAGAGTATTCTTCCATCTCACTTTTATGATCCCTCCAAGTCCCACGAACATCGCCTGAGACTGACCAGCTGCCCCATGGAGAATTCTTTATAAACTCAGTCTTGCTGGAAAACACCCCAAGATGTTGTTACTGCTGTTGTTGAAAAACCTCCTGAAGAAGTTTCTTGTTCTTTCCACTTCTACACACCACTCAGGTCTCTCACCATTGTTCCCTAAACAAGTGCCACCTCCGGTCCCCAAGTCAATCACAAATGGACAACCAAGAGCTAGGTCCGGGAACGGCTGGTCCGGCTTCCCTATGGAATGTGTTTAACCCAAAGCTGGCTTCTTCTCCCTCTGTGACCTAGTCACCCGCTTTGACCTCCCAATAGGCATGGGCCCAGGGCTGACCTCTCATTTAACAGGCAAAATGCAAAGAGGAAAGGGGATCTTCATCCTAGGTGGATACACACACCCAGGTGGCAACATCAGCCTGAGTCTGAGTTCTAGGGCAGAAGTTCAATGTCACACCTTGAAATCATTGAGGCAGAGAGAGATTTCTTTTTTACTCAGCCTTTTATTATACCCAGATTTCAATGGACTGTATAAAGCCCACCAATATTGGGAAGGGCAATCAGTTTCACTCATTTACCAATTTGAACATTGATCTTGGGAATTTGCTGGTGGTCTTGTGGTTAGGACTTGGTGCTTCTACTTCTGGGGTCTGGGTTCGATCCCTGGTCACAGAACTAAGATATTGCAATCCATGAGGTATGATAAAAGAAAAAAATATTGATCTCATCCAGAAACACTCTCACAGACACACCCAGACATAACATTAAACCAAATATATGGGCACCCCAGGCTTCCCTGGTGGCTCAGAAGGTAAAGAGTCCACCTGCAATGCAGGAGACCCAGGTTCAATCCCTGGGTTGGGAAGATCCCCTGGAGGAGGACATGGCAATCCACTCCAGTATTCTTGCCTGGAGAATCCCATGGACAGAGGAGCCTGGTGGACTACAGTACATGGGGTTGCAAAGAGTCGGACAAGACTGATTGACTAACACACACACATACATCGGTACCCCCATGACCCAATCAAGCTGATGGATAAAATTAACCATCATAAGCTTCAAAACAGGCCAAGAGGGACCCTTCTGTTTGCCCCCGGTAGGCTCTTGGTAGTGCCTTGCACATGGTGGGGAAGGGTCTCAGATTTTGCCCTGTTGGCAAGCTCACAGGTCGTTAGCCTGCCAGCTTCACAGAGGCTGTCAAAGACACGAGCTTCCTGGGTCAGACACAGGGATGGTATGACTCATGGCACAGCTGATGTCAAGAAATATCTGTGAAATGAGCAGATGGTGGCATGCACTCCAGGGCTAAGCTATATACCCAGGAAATGGCAGCCACCCAGATCTCTTGGGGGAGCAAGAGCCCCCCGATGTCAGTTAAAGAGGTAGCACTGGAGATTAGACCAATTTGGCAATACTTGGCGAAGTTGAAGACATAAGATGTACATGCCCTGTGACCCAGAAATTCCATCTGCTGGGCTCAGGGGATTGGCTGCCTCCTGCCCTTCCCACCTGCCCACCTATAACCCATTCCTGGCAAAGCCCAGTCCTGGGGGACCCACACACTGACACAAGGAGACACATTCGAGGATGTTTGCTGTAGTGCTATTTATAATATTAAAAATTGGAATCAAGACTAATTTTCCATCACTAGAGGAAAGGATAAGATAAAAATGGCTGCACTAGAACTATTTGGATTACTATCTGTAAGTTTCAGGAACCAGAGCTGAGTGACAAAGAAAAAGTAGCAAAAGTATATGTACAGTACATCATTTATGGGTTTGCATTTTTTGCTTTGATGAGTAACTGTTGGGATCTCAGTTCCCTGAGCCGGGATTGAACCTAAGCCCCCACTGGACCACCAGGGAATCTCTACATATTTCAAGTGCACATTGCATATGGCTATATAACATGTGAAAGTGAAGTGTTAGTTGTTCAGTCCTGTCAGACTCTGCGACTCCATGGACTGTAGCCCACCAGGCTCCTCTGTCCTTGGAATTCTACGGGCAAGAATACTAGAATGGGTAGCTGTTCCCTTCTCCAGGGTATCTTCCCAGCCCAGGGATGGAACCTGGGTCTCCCAACTTGCAGGCAGATTCTTTACGTCTGAGCCACCAGAGATGCCCATATAACGTGTGGTTAAAGCAAAGCCCATATATATATGGGACTTCCCTGGTGGTCCAGTGGTTAAGACTCTGCTTTCCCAATGCAGGGGGCACAGATTTGATCTCTGATGGGGAAACTAAGATCTTGCATGCCACTCAGTTCGGCCAAATAAAACAAACAAAAAAATATAATCACAAGGAATTGATGCTCTCAATTTTGGCATCAATCAACTGATGACTTTTTGGGAGGAAGGCCAAAGGGATGGGGCTTAGAGGTCTGCTTTTACTGAAGATTCTGAGAGCTGCAGGAAATATAGCAAAATAATAAATAACCTAGGATGTTAGTTCCTTTGATGAAATAGCTTATAATTAAATAATAGAGTTAGGGCGACATCCAAAAAGGTAGCTAGAACGCATCTGGAGAAGCTGGGCTCTGGTGACCTGAAGGCTGTCGCTAATTTTGTCCCAGAAGCACTGGAAGGCATCCATTCTCCCAAACCTGCGGCTTGTCAGAGGAAGGCTGGTGTACTTCCTAATTCTCACCACTAGATGGAGAGAGCACGCAGGATTGTCTGTTCAGTCCCTCTGTCTGGCTCTGTGCGACCCCATGGACCCCAGCTGGCCAGGCTTCCCTTTCCTTCACCATCTCGCAGAATTTGCTCAGACTCATGGTCATTGAGTCAATGATGCCATCCAACCATCTCATCCTCTGTCACCCCCTTCTCCTCCTGCCCTCAATCTTTCCCAGCATCAGGGTCTTTTCTAATGAGTCAGCTCTTCACATCAGGTGGCCAAAGTATTGGAGTTTCAGCTTCAGCATCAGTCCTTCTAATGAATATTCAGGGTTTATATCCTTTAGGATTGACTGGCTTGATTCTGCAGTTCAAGGGACTCTCAAGAGTCTTCTCCAACTCCACAGTTTGAAAGCATCAATTCTTCAGTGCTCAGCCTTCTTTACGGTCCAACTCTCAGATCCATACATGACCACTGGAGGGCAGGAGAAGGGGATGACAGAGGATGAGATGGTTGGATGTCATCACCGACCCGATGGACATGGGTTTGAGAAAGCTCCAGGAGATGATGAAGGACAGAGAAGCCTGGCGTGCTGCCGTCCATGGGGTCGCAAATAGTCAGCCACGACTGAGAGACTGAAGTGAGCTCAGGAAGCATTCATTCCCCAAAACCTTGCCTCACCCTGCCCCTTGTCAGAGGAAGGCTGGTGTACTTCCCAACTTTAACCACTAGATGGGGCTAGCACGCAGGGTTAGAAAACGGAAAATCTGGGTTCACCCCAGCGATTTCAACAAGGAAATTTTGCAAAAGAAGAACCAAGGCAGAAAATTTACTTGCGATCTTGAGAGATAGGCAGAGGTAGAAAACAGCGGCACCCAGGTAACAAAAGGACCCCTAGTTGAAGTAGCCATACTATTCACTGATATTAATAAAGTATCTCTTTCCTAGTTCTTAAAATTACCCAAGATGCGGTCTGTAGGCATTAAAACAGGTATCAACAAGGGTTCAGGGAAACTCCAGTTCTCAACCCCCCTTCCCTGCCACTGTGTCTGATGGATATCATTTCACTGAATAACTCAGATGTGTGTTTAGTTTCAAGGGCCTGGACTTGGAAGGTCCTGAGTTCACATCTTGACACTGCTTCTGCCCAGCTGTGTGACCTTGGGTGCCTGCTTTAACCTCTCTGGGCCTCGGTTTTCTGATTTGCAAACTAGGGGAAATAATAACATCAGGTCCACAGAACTTGCAGAGGTTGAATGAAATTATACACACGAAGCCCCTGCACATGGTAAGCCTTTGGTAAATGGTAGGAATGTTAGACCCTAAAGCCCAAATCACTCTATTTTAATTTTTTTTTTTTCTTGCTGTGTCATGTGGCTTGTGGATTCTTAGTTCCCTGACAAGGGATCCAAGTCATGGCCCCGGCATTGGAAGTATGGAGTCTTAACTACTAGACTACCAGTAAAAGTGAAAGTGTGAGTTGCTAAATCGTGTCTGACTCTTTGTGACCCCATGGACTGTAGCCCGCCAGGATTCTCTGTCCACAGGATTCTCCAGGCAAGAATACTGGAGTGGGTTGCCATTCTCTTCTCCAGGGCATCTTCCCGAGCCAGGGATTGAACCCGGGTCTCCCACGTTGCAGGCAGAGTCTTTACTGTCTGAGCCACTAGCGAAGTTTCTAGACTACCAGGGAGGTCCTGAAATCACTCTAAAGTCAGCAATTCCAGGGAACAAGGACAAGGTTTCAAACTGCAACATGATGAACAGAATATAATGCTCTCCTGAGGGATAAAGGTATTCCCAGGTACTCAGCCAAGGGGGCTTCCCATGTGGCGCTAGTGGTAAAGAACCCACGTGCCAATGAAGGCGACGTAAGAGACGTAGGTTCAATCCCTGGGTCAGGAAGATCTCCAGGAGGAGGAAATGGCAACCCACTCCAGTATTCTTGCCTGGAGAATCCCATGGACAGAGGAATCTGGCGGGCTACAGTCCTTGGGGTCCCAAACAGTCTGACACGACTGAAGTGACTTGGCATGCACACAGCCATGGAAAAGGATAGTGGTGAAATATTTGATGACCATGTAACAGGAGCAAGTAGAAACCCTGCCATTTCCCGAAGGGGAACATGACACCATCCCTTCACTCATTAGACAAATATTTAGAGAACAGCTTCCTCGAGCAGGCCTTGGTGTGTGGTGTGAGCAAAACAGACCCGGCCCCTCCTTCCCCTGAGGATGCAGAGCCCAGTGGGGGCAGCACAAGTATGATCGGAGGGTGAAGAAGATGACGGCAGGGGAGAAGGTCGCCGAGCAAGGGTGACGGGACCCCGTGTGTCTGAAACCCCAAAACCATTAGTCAGTGTGCTCCGGCCCAGGGACATTTAAAAACAACATTATTGAGGCGTATTTGCATACCGTATTGTTCACACTTTTCATGTGTGCAATTGAGTAATTTTTAGCAAATTTACCAAGTTATGCAACCATCACCATAAATCAGTTCTAAAACATTCCATCAGCCCAACATGATCCCTCATGTACACAGACGGCTAGTTCCTGTCCTTGCCCCAGGAAACCACTAATCTTTCTGTCTGTAGCTTTGCCCTTTCTGGACACTTCACATAAACAGACTGTATAATATGTGGTCTCTTGTGTCCAGCTTCTTTTCCAAAGCATATTTTTGAGGTTCATCTGGGCCGCAGCGTGTACCTGTAGATAATTCTTTTCTCTTGCTGAATAGTATTCCATGGTCATTGGAATTTTGTCTCTCCATTTGCCAGTTGATGGCCATTTAGGTTGCTTCCCATTTCTGTCTAGCCCACCAAATTTCAACCTAGGGCCAGTGGGTGGGCATCACAGCTTCTGTCATGTCAGGATGGGAGACTTCTCTGATGGTCCAGTGGCTAAGACTCTGTGCTCCCAATGCAGGGGGCCCAGGTTAGATCCCTGGTCAGGGAGCTAGACCTCACATGCTGCAACTAAGACTTTGCATGCCGCAAGTGAAGATCCCACATGCCACAGCAAAGATTGAAGATCCTGAGTGTCACAACGAAAACCCAACACAGTCAAATAAAGAAATATTTTTTTAAAATTTTATTTACTTGGTGGTGGCATAGGGTGTCTTTCAGTGGCAGCATGCAAACTCTTAGCTGTGGCATGTGGGATCCGGTTCCCTGAGGGGGGAACCAAACCCCGGCCTGCCGCTCTGGGAGCACAGAGTCTTAGCCACTGGACCCTCAGGGAGGTCCCCATCTGGGCTCCTCTTTCTTTTTCCCCTGACCCATCTGAAAGCAGAGATCATTAAACTCCAGCCCTAAACCCTTCATCACGTGTCTCCTAAGGTTAAGGACAGCGTCTAAAATCACCATCATCTTACTCAATTTAATTTCAACACGATGTTATCTGACATGTGGTCCACAGTGAAATTTCCCAAATTATGTCAGTAACATCCTTCAGGGTTTGTTGTTGTTGTTTTTAACTCAAGAGCTAATGAAGGATTGAGGCTTGCCTTTGGCTGTCATGAGAAGCCAGACTTCTTTATTCCTTTTGAATATTTTTTACTTTTTGGCGACGCTGAGGCTTCATTGCTTCTAGTGGGTTTTCTCGAGTTGCAGAGTGGGCGCTACCCTCCAGCCGAGGTCCTCGGGCTTCGTGTGCTGGCCTCTCCTTGCTGGGCACAGGCTCCCGGTGTGCGTCAGGAGCTGTGACTCGTGGGCTCAGTAGTTGGGGCACACGGGCTTAGTTGCCCCTGTGCATGTGGGATCTCCCCAGACTAGGGATTGAACCGGTGTCCCTGGCATTGCAAGGCAGATTCTTAACCACTGGACCAACACGCATGCCCGGAAGCCAGACTTGGAACTGAACCCAAATGAATGCAGATTGCTAATCCATGTGAGAACTTGCATGGGGCAGGCTTCTGAGGGAAGTGTCAGAGCAGTCACTCAGTCCTCAGAGGAGCCAGGCATGGACTGCTGCCCACATTTCCGGAGGCGAGGTGGCAGGTGGTGTCGAAAGCTGAGCTGCCCTCGTCTGGGTCTGGTGGATGAGAAAAGCAAGGTTTGGGACCTGAAACACCTCGCTTGTTCCCTCCCACTTGAACCTGAAGGAGTCCTAATGTGAAGCCAAGTTTGACTGACATTGAGCGTCAAAGTCTTTGACTGTGTGGATCACAACAAACTGTGGAAAATTCTTCAAGAGATGGGAATACCAGACCACCTGACCAGCCTCCTGAGAAACCTGTCTGTAGGTCAAGAAGCAACAGTAAAACTGGACACAGAACAACAGACGGGTTCCAAATCGGAAAAGGAGTACGTCAAGGCTGTATATTGTCAATTAAATGATATTGTCAGTTAAATAATATAAGTTATTTAACTTATAAGCAGAATACATCATGTGAAATGCCGGGCTGGATGAAGCACAAGCTGGAATCAAGATTGCTGGGAGAAATATCAATAACCTCAGATGTGCAGATGACACCACCCTTATGGCAGAAAGCAAAGAACTACAGATATTCTTGACAAAAGTGAAAGAGGAGAGTAAAATGTTAGCTTAAAACTCAACATTCAGAAAACTAAGATCATGGCATCTGGTCCCCTCATTTCATGGCAAATAGATGTGGAAACAGTGAAAACAGTGAGAGACTTTTATTTTTTGGGACTCCCAAATCAGTGCAGATGGTGACTGCAGCCATGAAATTAAAAGACGCTTGCTCCTTGGAAGAAAAGCTATAACCAACTTAGTTTATTAAAAAACAGAGACATTGCAAAGATCCACCTAGTCAAAGCTGTGGTTTTTCCAGTAGTCATGTATGGATGTGAGAATTGGACTATAAAGAAAGTTGAGCACCAAAGAACTAATGATTTGAACTGTGGTGTTGGGGAAGACTCTTGAGAGTCCCTTGGTCTGCAAGGAGATCCAACCAGTCCATCCTAAAGGAAATCAGCCCTGAATATTCATTGGAAGGACTGATGCTGAAGCTGAAACTCCAGTACTTTGGCCATCCAATGTGAAGAACATTGAGAAGACCCTGATGCTGGGAAAGATTGAGGGCTGGAGGAGAAAGGGATGACAGAGGATGAGATGGTTGGAGAGCATCACCGACTGGATGGACCTGAATTTGAGTAAACTCTGGGAGTTGGTGATAGACAGGGAAGTCTGGCATGCTGCAGTCCATGGTTTTGCAAGGAGTTGGACACGACTGAGAGACTGAACTGAACTGAGCGCCTCGAGGCTGAGGCCCCTGCTCTCTGGCTGGCTTTGCGGATCCTGCTTGCAGCCCACCTCGGGCCCTGTCCCGGCGCCAGTCTGCTCCACCTCGTGCTTGGCTATAGCTGGAGGCGCCTGGGTCGGGAACGCAGCGCAGCCGCCAGAGCTGTGCTCACACATCAACACCTTTGTGATGCGCAGCATCTGGCCGTGCCCGGGGGTCTCAGTACGGAAGTGGCAAGGGGCACACAGGTGGGACGCCAGAGCCCTGAGCAAAGGACACGAACAGCTGGTCCGGCGGTGGCGCTGGGGCGGAGCCGGGGCCCACCGCCAGGGGGCGCGCACGGCTCCAGGGCGCGCCACGGGGCGCAGGCGCCCCACCTGCAGGGGGTCTCTGATTTCCTTGATGGCGCCTCCCCTTCATCGGAGAGCTCACACAGGTTCTAAGGCCCTCAGCAACAGAGTGAGGGCTTCCCTGGTGGCCCGGACGGTAAACAATCTGCCTGCAATGCAGGAGACCCTGGGCTTGATCCCTGGGTTGGGAAGATCCCCTGGAGAAGGGAATGGCAACCCACTCCAGCGTTCTTGCCTGGAATATTCCATGGACAGAGGAGCCTGGCAGGCTGCAGTCCATGGGGTCGCAGAGTCGGACATGACTGAAGTAACTTAGCATGCACTCGCAACCAAGTGAAGGGTCAAACAGAGGTGAACGGGAAGCCTTGGGTGGCCACCCAGCACTTCTTTGACTGGAGAGTTTTTTAAAAATAAAAGCACCCTGTAACATGCGTGTGTACACTTAAATAAACTTTTACAAACATATTATCCATCGCAGGAGGATTCTTTACTGTCTGAGGCACCAGGGAAGCCCCTTGTGCATGGGCTTCCCTCGTAGCTCAGTTGGTAAAGAAGCCGCCTGCGATGCAGGAGACCCTAGTTTGATTCCTGGGTCAGGAAGATCCGCTGGAGAAGGGATAGGCTGCCCACTCCAGTATTCTTGGGCTTCCCTGGTGGCTCAGAAGGTAAAGAATCCAACTGCAATGTGGGAGACCTGGGTTCGACCCCTGGGTTGGAAAGATCCTCTGGAGGAAGGCATGGCAACCCACTCCAGTACTCTTGCCTGGAGAATCCCCATGGACAGAGGACCCTGGCGGGCTGCAGTCCATGGGGTCGCAAAGAGTCGGACACGACTGAGTGCACACACACACATACATATATGTACTTTCTGAAATTACGAAACAGGACATATTTTTTTAAAAGTGGAAAATACAAACGATCAAAAATAAACACAAAACCCTCATCCCTAACACCCCAGAGGTCATGTAACTCTGGTCAAATACCAGAGCCTTCTGGATCTTTTATCGGGCATGTGTGCGCTCGTGTCAGGGTTTCGTTTTCCTGACAGAAGGACCTCACAAGACCGGATCACAGGATGAGGAAGCTGTGTTTTCACAGGAGAATGTTGTGCTTGGGAGAGCCTGATTTAACGATCCTGGTGTGAATTCATTGGGGGAACAAAATACACGGTTTTATGAGCTGCTTTCATCAGTCAATGATTTCCATTTCTCCATTTCAGAAAATGTTCATCTTTTATAAAACATGATTTTATTTAGATTTCTCCAGTCAACCTTTCCGGTTGGTTTGTGCCCGCTGATATTCAACCCAGGGCTGTGCATCACGTGTGATCATACAGCCTTGAGATTATAAGCTAGTGCCCTCCTTTCGGAGAAGGCAACGGACCTTTCCAGTACTCTTGCCTGGAAAATCCCATGGACGGAGGAGCCTGGTGGGCTGCAGTCCAGGGGGTCGCTAAGAGTAGGACACGACTGAGCGACTGAGCGACTTCACTTCACTTTTCACTTTCATGCATTGGAGAAAGAAATGGCCACCCACTCCAGTCTTCTTGCCTGGAGAATCCCAGGACGGGGGAGCTTGGCGGGCTGCCGTCTATGGGGTCGCACAGAGTCGGACACGACTGAAGCGACTTAGCAGCAGCAGCCCTCCTTTCGGGGACAGTGAACCTTTGGAGAGACTGGCTAGGTGTTGTAAGGAAGTCCCACCCTCTAGATTTGTCTCTTACTGCCTCTTGGTATCAGTAGGCTTGTTCCTTTACTCCCCATAATTCCTCTAAGCTGGCAGTTAAAGCAAGCTGGGCACTTCCCTGCTGGTCCAGTGGCTAGGACTCTGTGCTCGCAATGCAGGGGGCCTGGGTTCAGTACCTGCTCAGGGCACTTATATATATAGCAAGGCTGGATGGTGTGAAATAAGAGCTTGTGATTAAAATTCCCACCAATGTAGAAGTGTGTAAATTAAGGGGGATACTCGGCCCCTCCTCTTTCTCTCTCTGGTCCTTCTCCCCAGAGGTAAACACTGTTAATGACTGGATGCCTGGGTGTTCCTCCTTCCAGGTTTCCCAGATGGCACTAGTGGTAAAGAACTCTCCTGCCAGTGCAGGAGACATGAGAGATGCGGTTCGATCCCTGGGTCGGGAAGGTCCCCTGGAGAAGGAAATGGGAACCCACTCCAGTATCCTTGTCTGGAGAACCCCATGGACAGAGGAGTCTGGCAGGCTACAGTCCATGGGGTTGCAGAGGCAGACACAACTGAAGGGATTTCAGTTCCGTTCAGTCGCTCAATCGTGTCTGACTCTTTGCACCCCATGAGTTTACTCAAACTCATGCCCATTGAGTCAGTGATGCCATCCAACCATCTATCTCATCCTCCGTCGTCCCCTTCTCCTCCCGCCCTCAATCTTTCCCAGCATCGGGGTCTTTTAGCATGTGCCTTTTCTCCCCTGATAGAAACGTATGACTGTCACTGTGAGTGGCTTTTTGCTTTTGTTTGTATGAGAAAGGGATTGATACAACGGCTGTTCTGGAAATGGAAAAGTCATGTATTTGGGCCATCTCTCCATGGCTTGGTCCTGGGCTCTGTCACTCTAACCTGAGATCACATGAGCTTTTGCTGACTAAAAAACATTTTTTTTATATATCTAAGTTTCTGTTAAGCTCCATGTGAAGAATTCAGAGAGCTTCAATGAAAAGTCCCCCAGGCAAGATAACATCTGATTTATTCAAAGGACTTTCAGCTCACCCCTTTCCTTCCCCACTGCCAACCCTTCTCTCATGGCAGTCAGTGGTTTTTCCTTTTAATATTTTATTTATTTATTTTGACTGCACAGGTCTTAGCTGCAGGATGTGGGATCTAGTTCCCTGAGCAGGGATTGAACCCAAGTCCCCTGCATTTGGAGCCTGGAGTCTTAGTCACTAGACCACCAGGGGAGTCCCACAAGTTAGTCCCCCCTAATTCTTGATCTTTTCTCTCAAGTCATCATCTCTTTCAGGCTTCCCACCTCCCAAAATGACATCCCCATCTCCTCAGCTATTCAAGTCCTAGATGTGGGCACTGGGATTTTTACTTTAAATTTATATATTTACTTTTTTTGTTTGTTTGTTTTGGCTGCACCACTTGGCTTGCAGGATCTTAGTTCCCTAGCCAGGGATTGAACCTGGGCCCCAGCAGTGAACGCGCTGAGTCCTAAGCACTGGACCGCCAGGGGATTCCTTTTATTGTTTTACTGGGGTACCATTTATCTCAGTAACCTACACAAACTTTAAGGGACAGCTCCACAAAAAAAGTTTTTTTAAACCTTTGTAGACATGCATGTAACTCCACCCAGATGGAGACGGAGAAACTTCTCAGCGCCTAGGAAGTTCCCTTGTGCCTTATCCCAGTCGCTTCCCCTCCTTCACCCAGAGGGACCCACTCTTCTGACTTCTGTCTCTGACACCTAATGGCCAGCCTATGGCTCAGGCCTGCCACTCTCTGGGCCGTATTTTTCTCGGGCCTCATCCTTTCCCACCCGGGCAACAGCACCAGCTTCTTCACTTGTCCCCTCTCCTCTGGCACCCCGTACCCCCGGCAGCCAGAGACCTGACCGCTCGCCCCCTGGCCTGAGACCCTCAGAGGCTCCTAGTGCCCTCAGGGGGGTGTTCAGCACCTTGGCTAATCCTCACCTCGCTGACACCATCTCCCGAGTCCTCGTGTGTGTGTGCAAGCCACTTCAGTCATGTCTGACTCTCTGAGACCCCATGGACTGTAGCCCACCAGGCTCCTCTGTCCATGGGATTCTCCGGGCATGGATCCTGGAGTGGGTTGCCATGCCCTCTTCCAGGGGATCTTCCCATCCCAGGGATCAAACCTGTGTCTCTTAGGTCTCCTGCATTGGCAGGCGGGTTCTTTACCACCAGCACAGCCTGGGAAGCCCTCCTCAGTCCTCACCACACCCCATGTAAGGGAAGGGAGACACAGTGGGGACCCACTGGTCTACGATCGCAAAGACAGCTAGCTGGATACACCAACAGGTTGACTCCTGAACACATGCTGTTAACACACTCTGCTCCGCGAATGAATGAATCATCCATTCATCTATTCAGGTTTTCTTTTACAGAAATATAGAGACCCAGGGACTACCCTTGGTGGTCCTGTGGCTAAGACTCCGCACTCTCAATGCAGGGGCCCTGGGTTCGAGCCTTGGTCAAGGAACTAGATCCCACATGCCCAACTAAGAGTTGGCATGCCACAACTGAAGACTCCATATACTGCAACTAAAGATGCCGTACGCTGTAGCGAAGATGGACGATCCCTTGTGCGGCACCTGAGACCCGCTGCGTGCAAATAAATAAACAAAAATAAAACCAAAGGAAATACAGTAAGTTTAGGAAAAATCAGATCTCCCACTGCTAAGCAGTGGGACGTGAGACCACTTTGTTGCCAGGGGCAGAGGGAAAAGAGGCGAAGGGAAGGGAAGGGGAGGAGTTGCGGGGCAGAGGGTGTTTCTGGACGGAGCCTGCTTCCACTGCGGCACTTTCTTGAGGACTGGCCTTGACCCCAGCAGAGGAGAGGTTCTTTATTTACTCAGTGTCTCAACCCTGACCGTCACCGGGTTGAGAAGCGGGGGTGGGGGGGTCCCCTACAAGGCCTGTGGTTTGAGTGAAGAAAACAATTGCGTAAAAACGGAGAACCTTGTCCTGTCCCGGCCTGAGTCACGCTGGAGAAGAGTGAAGCCTCAAGCCCCTGAGGTTTCAGGCCAGCAGTTACATCACTGAAGTCAGCGCCTGTGAGCTCAGGAAAGGGTACCCGGGGACAAGGGATGAGGCAGGATGGAGGGCCAAGACTGGCTCAGAGGAACTCCAGGCCTGGGTTAG